GATTTGTCCTGGAAGGGGTTAAACCAGGTGGCTCCTTGGAGGCAAGGATTCTGAGGTTCCGTCTAACATACTTTGGACATGTTGTGAGGAGAAACCAGTCCTTAGAGAGGGACATCATGCTTGGGAGGGTGGAGGGACGGCGCAGGAGAGGAAGACCCTCTATGGGGTGGATTGATTCAGTGTCTGGGATAATTGGGATGGGAGTGTCAGAGACGGTGCGATTGGCACAGGACAGAGCAGAGTTTAGGGCTCTTGTACATAGGAGTCGCTATGAGTCGCAACTACAAAGTCTAAAATTAAGAAACATGCGTCAGGGTTGTATCCTCTCTCCATACCTATTCACTCTCTATGCTGAGAAAATTATTCCAGGAGCTAGACTCTACGAACAGGAATATGGTATTAAGTTAGGAGGAAGACTCACCAATAACCTACATTATGCAGATAATACTTTGCTTGCTCAAAGTGAGGAGGATTTGAAGCACTTTATGCGGAAGATCAAAGAATAGAACACAGCCTTCACTACATATTATACCTCAATGTCAAGAAAACGAAAATTCTCACTACTGACCAACAGACATCATGGTAGATGGAGAAAATATTGGATATTGCCAACAATCCACATCTTCGGTATCAGCATTCAGGAGATCAGGAGATATATTGCACTGGGAAAGTATGCAGTAAGGGACCTCTTCAAATTATTGAGGAGCAACAATGTCAGTGTGAGGACTAAGGTGTGTCTGATTCAAGCCATGGTCTTTTCAATCACTTGCCATGCATCTGAAAGCTAGACAATGAACAAGGATGATAGAAGAATAGTTGATGCCTATGAATTATATAAAAGTACTGAATATTATATGAACTGTCAAAAGTACGGAGATGTTTTGGAGAAGGTGCAACAAGAGTGCTTTTTGGCGGCAAAGATGACAAAGCTTTCTCTAACATACTTTGGGTATGTTTCTAGGAGAGGCTATTCCTTGGAGAGGGACACCATGCATGGAAAGGTGGAGGATTGGTGAAGGAGAGGAAGACTCTCAACCAGATGGATTAACACAGTGACTGCTGCAGTGGGCTCAGGTATACCAGATATTGTGCGAATGGAACAGGATAGGTCAGGGTTCAGATCTGTTGTTCACAGGGTTGTTATGGGTAGTACCCAACTCAAGGGCACCTGTCTACTCAATTCTAACTTAATGGGATTTTGAGGCTACAAATAAAAATAGGAAGAGACTGTTTATCATCTTTTTTTTTTTTAGAAGAGCCACTGCTGGCTTCAAATTGCTTCAAAAAGCAAAGCTTTTGAGTTAGCTGTGCAACTTGCTACCAGACCGCTCCATATGTTTGCTAATATCTAAGAGGCAAAATTGGCCAAAATAAATTTTCCAATTGTTACAGGAAGGTTAAGATTCCTGTACTCAAAAAAAAAAAAAAAAAAAAGATTCCTGTACTCAGTATGAATTGCTGACATAATCCTTTTAGCCATGTTGGATAGAATATTGTTTATTTTTTAACACTGTCCAGTCTTCTCTTGTTTAGTAATGAAGCATAATTCGAAGCTCAGTCTGGGATAATTGCTTAAGCTCATGGTATTGGACAATAAATCTTTGCTTCCACTTTGCCCTGCATCCTTTTATTTCAGTAGTGTGTTTTGGATAGAAATGATTTCCTCTTTTCCTTTTTTATCTTTAAAATGACTAGAATAAAGTGAGGCATTCACTCAATACATCCTATCTTTTGGAATGCTATATTGGCATACCAAAAAGCACTTTTAAAGATTTATATATTATCAAAGTCTGTTAGAATTTAGAGGGAGCTCTGACTGTGTAGTCCATAGTGAGTCACACTTTAACCCAAAAGCTGCATATTCCTGGTGGCTTGTATTTCCCCAGCATCTTTGAGGGAGAGACAGGTGCATTTTCTTCCAGTTGTGATTTACAGCCTCAAAAACCAGGTGGAAAGTCGTTTTCAGCCAGAATCCTTTGATGGTAGTAAATTTTTAAACTTTTCTTTAAAATTTATAGTTTTCTGCAATGTATTATAATAAATAAATTCAGAGTTAGTAGAAAGTTCTAGTGGCTTAGAGCTAACAAGTAGTGCTGCCAACCCAAAACTTTACAATTTTAATCTACAAGCTACTTGAGACAAGAAAAATGGACAATTTCTGTGCTATTTACTGTCTCTAAAAACTCTCTGGAGGGTCAGTCATGGGTCAGTTCCATCTTTATGCCACATGACAACATGGAGTTACTGGCTTAAAAATGAACCAGAAAAAGTTATGCACCAAAGGCCTCTGAGTTGAAGAACAAACTATGCTATACTCTGATCTTGTTAATGGTGTTGACAAATGATAGGAAGCTCACACTCTAAAATGTAACTGTTATGAGGAAAGAAATGGAAAAAATTACAATTAATAAGTGATACTGGAAGGCTTTGTGATCACCACAGGCCTTTTTTTTTATAAAAAAAAAAAGAGTAAGAACATGATTGGCAAGAGAAGAGGATTTTCTTGGTTCCTGAAATTGACTATTTCAGCGAAATTCTTCCTCAAATAGAATCAACTAGACACAAACATTTATGTGACATTTCTTAATTTTAAACACCTTCTTCCTGTTGTGAGCCCTGGTGACACAGTAAACACTTGGCTGCTAACCAAAAGGTCAGCGGTTCAAACCTACTAGTCACTCCATGGGGAAAAAAGTAAGGCAGTATGCTTCTGTAAAGACATACAGCCTTAAAAGCCTTTATTGGGCACTTCTACCCTGCCCTACTGGATAATTATAAGTCAGAAACAACTCACAGCAATGGGCCTCTTCCTGTTTATATCCGCCAAACAACTAGAATTGCTTTCTGTAAAGGCGACTATGTTCATGTAATTTTTATAAAGTCACTACAAGTTGAAATTGACTCGATAGCACCTAACAATAACAACACGTATGAGGCATTGATATCTTGGGTGACTTCAAATCTTACAGAACAAATAGACCCAATAATATAAAATTCAAGTCTCTGAATAAATATAAATAAATAAAAATAATTTATAGCTTAAATTTTATCTCCCTCCATTCCTTAAAAAATGTGTTGAAATCTTATCCTATAAATAGGATCCTATTGGAAAACAGTGTTTTTTGTTGTTGTGTCAACAGGTCGCAATACAGCAAAATGGGTTCTAAACATAATCAATTCTAGATTATAAAAGAGGCAGAATAAACGCAGAGACACACGTAGGGGGAAGAGGTAAACAGAAAATTGAGACAAAGGCATCTATCAGTTCACAAATGCCCAAGATTGCTGGCACCTTTTAGAAGCTAAGAGATAAGGAAGAAACTCTCCCCAGAATCACCCCAAATTTGGACTTCCAGCCACTTGAATTGTTAGAAAAGGTATTTCTGAGTTTTTAAACTTATTCACATGTGGTATTTGTGTTATGCCAGCACTAGGTAAACCAAGACAAGTGGATTTCTCAAATTAACCCCAAAATAGTGGTTAGGACCCAGATCCTTGATTCCAAGGCTTAGCCTGATTATAAAGCATGGAAAATTATTGTCCTGTTTCATGAAGGTATCTGTAGAACTACAGCTAGACAAGAGAGGAATAATCGGCGTGGACAGCCATTCCTCCTCTCCCATTACAACACAAAAAATGTTCTACTTTATGTTCTAGCAATTGTGTTCAGGATAAAATGTCATAAAGTTCTTCATTTCAAAAACTGTGAAAAAAATCATTGCTACATACTTTACAATTTGAAGAAGTATGGCATTAAAGCTGTGAATAATAATACTAAGTTTTAATAAATTTGCTATCAGTTCAGACTAATTTTTAAAAAATAATGTTGGCTTAAGAATAAGGACTGCTTTATTTTAAAAGAAGTGTCAAATTTTTGCCATTTATTTCCATCATATTTATATTTTCAGAAAGGATAGAAAAGAATGGGATAAAAATAGAGCCCCATTATTTTGGGGAGCTGGACATATTATCACTTTCAAACTCACCTTCCAAATTATAAAAAAAAATATTCCCTACTACTATTGAAGGATTTAGCAGAGTATTCAAATAAACAAACAAACAAAAAAAAAACCCCAAAAAAAACCAAAATCCACAACTCAACTCTGAACAATTTACTTGGGATGCTAAGTTGTACTTACTTATGCATGCCAACAGAAATGGTATGTCTCTTTTGGAAGGAAATAGGCAGGCACAAAAATATTCCATACAAGGAGCCAGAATTAATAATGGTAGAATGCTGACCACATTCATTACTGAAACTGGCAGAAGAAATCCATTCAAACTAAGGTTGGAATTCATGGTCTGCAGATAATATCCTGAAGGAATCTGTATATGAGGGGGAAAAGTAAACATTTGTTAACAACGCTTTAACTTCAGAGAAAGCTGCCTTGTGCAGTATTGTTGCTCTGTAATATTCCCTAGCTATTCAAATATCAACTATAAGCTGATAAAGTATCTTTATCTGTGGAATGGGTAGTTTTGTTTCATCAGTTTCAATAACCAAAATTACTGCCCTAAAGCGGCTTCTACATTATGAGCCTCCTTTGAATTCCTGAAGATATATGTCTTTATGGAAGGATATTGTCCATCTTTCTGTTAAGGAGCTTCTGGTAGATTCATACTGCCTAATACATCACTGTTTTTATGTGCCATTGAATCAGAACCAACTCAGAGATGGTCTTCTAGTAAGCTTTCAGGCTATAAATTGCATGGAAGGAGGGAGATTGCCAATCTTTCTCCCAAGAAGTAACTGAGGAGTTTAAGGTGCCTGTCTTTGGGTTACCAACACAACTCCTTATCACTAAGCTTATCACACACTAAAAATGCCAGGTCTCTTCTATTAACAATACCATGGAGCAATTTTGTCATCTAATCTATCTTCTAACCTTTACTACACAAAGTAAAAGTTGCACAAATTTTATATTTAGTATGACACATAACAAATCAAATAATATTATTTTTATGCAAGCTTTTTTATGAATAATAAATGTAAAACCAGTAGAAATTAGAGATATTTGGTTGTGGCTAAACAAATGTAGAAAAACAATGATGCTTTTCCTGCTTTGTGTCATCTTCATAGATATTTGTGAGCTGAAACTCATCATTGCAGATAGTGTGTAATTTAAGGGTCTTCTAGTTCAAGGGTTCACCTTTCAGGATCATAATGAGTAAAAGTGACCAGACGGGAACCACATGAAAAAAAATATTTTAAAAACAAATGACTGATTATTTTTTTTTTCAAATTTCCCTTCAACTCACAAGACATTCAATGTATTGTATAGATTTTCTTAATTTTAGAGATGAAAAAATATCAAGCAAAATTCTAATCTTAAACTGAAGTCTCTTCCTGTGTTCCAACTCCTTCTAGATAATAATGTGACCAGCTCTAATACACCAGGTCACAAGAAAGGGGGCATCTACCTACTGCTTTGATTTGGGAACTTTCTTAAACTCATCTCATCACTGTCGTTGTCATTAGCAGCCTGTAATATTTTTTAATGTCCAGTGGAATATAAAGACACTAAGTGGTGTGGACAACCCTCATCTTCTTAAGAAATGAATTCTTCAGTTTTACCACGCCTGAACTTAGTAAAGTTCCTATCTCCCCACCATCCCAGGAGAGAATTCATATCCAAGCATCTGGATAATAACTTCTCATTCAAAACCTTCACTAATTCCTTCTTACAGCTGAACAGGCATTATCTAAGGAAAAGCTTATAGCTTTTCAATCTGTGTGCTAAGCAAGTGATTCCAGAAGCTAGACTATCTGAAGAGGAATGTGGTATCTGGATTGGTGGTAGACTCGTCAACCACTTGCCTTATACAGATTTAGACAAACTTGGTTGTAGAAAGTGAAAAAAGATTTTAAAAACTTACTAAGGAAAAGAAAAGAAAAGACTATAACCTTAAACATACGGTATATCTTAAGATCAAGAAACAAAATTCTCTACTACTGGATCAATAGGAAATATAATAGATGAAAACAAAATTGAAGTTATCAGATTTCATTCTACTTGGATACCCATGGTGGTTGTTGTTATTGTTACTGAATTGAGTGGAACTCATAGTGACACTGGACAGACCTGAATTCCAACCTTTCCTGTGCCATCCTCATTTTCTTTTTTTTCCTTTTTCACCCCCAACTCTGCCACTACCACCCACCATCACGGAATTCATCCTCACTTTCTATGACACATCTGAGCCCGTTGCTGCAGTCACCATGTCAATCCATCTCGATGGGGGTCTTTCTCTCTTTTGCTGACACTCCACCCTTTCAAGCATGATATCCTCTTCAAAGAATAGCCTTTCCTAGCAACACGTTCAAAGCATGAACGATGAAGCTTTGTCACCCTTGCCTTCAAGGAGCACTCTGGCTGCACCTTTTCTAAAACATACCTGTTTGTGCTTTTGGCAGGCCATGGGATATTCAGTACTCTTCTCCAACATCACAACTCAAAGGCATCAATTCTCCTGGCATCCTTATTCATCATCCAGCTCTCAGATCCATAGCAAGTAATTAAAAAGATCAGGGGCTGAATCAGGCACATTTGAGTCTTCAAACTGACTTCACTGCCTTTCAGTATTTTGGAGAGATTTCTGACAGTGGATTTGCCCAAAGCAATACATCTCCTTATCTCCTGAATGTTAGTACCAAGGGTATGATAGTGGATCCAAGCAAGATGAAAGCATTAACAATTTTAATCCTTTCTCTAGATATCATGATGCTACCCACTGGCCCATTGGTAAGAACCTTTGTCTTCTTGATGTTAAGATGCAATTTATATTGAAGGCTATATAGAGTCTGGCTTCGTGAATTCTTTACTCAGCATACAGATTGAATAGGAATGGGAAAAGGATATACCCCTGCTACACCCCTTCTCAATTTTAAACCACACTGTGTTTCCTTGCTCCATTTGGATAACAGCTTCTTGGTATAAGTACAGTTATGTGTTCTGGGATTCCCATTCTTCTCAATGATAGCAATAGTTTGTTGTGATCTGCACAGTCAAATGTCTTGGCATAGTCAATAAAACACGAATAGATATTCTCCTGATTTTCTCTGCTTTCACCCAGGATTGACCTAACATCAGCAATGATATATCTCTAGTGCTATGACCTCTTCTAAATCCAGCTTAAATGTCTGATACTGTCTGTGTATTGTCCCCGTCATTTTTGGTTGATCTTTGGCAATATTCTGCTTGCATGTGATAGTAATGATATTATTTGATAATTTCCACGTTTTATTAGATCATCTTTTTGGGGAGTGGGAACAAATATGGATTTCATCTAGTCAGTCGACTAGTCTGTCCTCAAATTTCCTGGAATAGACTGGTGAGCACATCCAAGGTTGCATCTGCCAGTGGGAAAATCTCCATTGGTATTCCCTCTATTCATGGGCCTGATTTATTCGTTTATTTTGCTAGTGTCTTTGTTGTTGTTGTTGTTGTTATGTGTCGTCGAGTCATTTGCGACTCATAGCGACCCTATGTACAACAGCCCTAAACCGTGCTCCACCCTGTGCCAATCTCATTGCCTCTGACACACCCATCCCGATTACCCCAGTCACAGAATCAATCCACCTCATAGAGGGTCTTCCCCTCCTGCGCTGTCCCTCTACTCTACCCAGCATGATATCCCTCTCTAAAGACCTGTCTTTCCTTACAACATGTCCAAAGTATGTCAGGCGAAGCCCCAGAATCCTTGCCTCCAAGGAGCAGCCTGGTTTCTCCCTCTCTTGGATGAATCTGTTTGTTTTCTTGGCAGTCCATGGTACATTCAGTACTCTTCTCCAGCACCACAGCTCAAAAGCATCCACTCTCCTTGTGTCCTCCCTAGTCATTGTCCAACTCTCTGATGCATAACAAGCGATTGCAAAGACCATGGCCTGTATCAGGCGCACCTTAGTCTCCAGAGAGACACTGCTGCTCCTGAGTACTCTAGAGAAGTCCCTAACCACAGACTTTCCCATCGCAATATGTTTTTTGATTTCCTGGCTACTGATGCCAAGAGTGTTGGCAGCAGTCAAAAATTGAAAAACATGTTACATTGGGAAAATCTACTGACAAGGACTTTCTCAAAGAACTAAAAGGCAAGAATATAAATTTTAAGAGTAAGGAGCACCTGATCTAAGCCAAAGTATTTTTCAATTGTTTCCTTGCATCTGAAAGGTGGACAATGATTGGGTGACAGGAGAACTGATGCCTTTGGATCATGGTATCAGGGAAGTTGTTGTTGTTAAGTTCTGTTGAGTCTAGTATGACCCTTAGTGGCCCTATGAACAACAGATTGGAACCCTTACCTATCCTGTACCATCTTCACCTCCTGACACACTAGAAACCATTGCAAAAGTCATTGTGTCAATCCACCTGGTCAAAGGTCTTTCTTTCCTTTGCTGACCCTCTTCTTTTCTGAGCATCAAGTCCCATTCCAAGGAATAGCCCCACCTAGAAACATGATTAAAGTATATGAGGTGAATCATCCTTGCCCCCAAAAAGCACTCTGGCTGCACCCTTTCAAAGATATATCTGTTGGGGTTTTTTGGCAGTCTATTGGATGTTCATCACTCTTCTTCAACACCACAGCTCAAAGGTATCAATTCTTCTTCTGTCATCCTTATTCAGTGCCCACCTCTCAGATACATAGCAAGTAATTTGAAAGACTATGGCCTAAATGAAACACATCTTAGTCCTAAAACTGACATCATTACTCCTCAATAATTCAGAAGGTCCCTTACTTCAGACTTTCCCAGTGCAATACATCTCCTGATATCTTGACTGCCCCTACAAAGGGTGTTAATTGTGGATCCAAGTAAGGTGAAGTTGTTGACAGTTTCAATCTTTCCTCCATCTATCATGATGTTAAGAAGAAGGATTGGCCATCCACTTCTGAAACTGACTGGGAGAGATCTATATTTGTTCCCATTCCAAAGAGAGGTGATCTGACAAAGTGTGGAAATTATTGAAAAGTTTCATTGATATCACATGCAAGGAAGATTTTGCTGAAGATCACCCAAAAATGGCTAGAACAGCACATCAAGAGAAAACTGCCTGAAGTGCAGGCTGGATTTAAAAGAGGCCATGGCACTAGGGATATTATAGCTAATGTCAGATGGATCTTGGCTGAAAGCAGAGAGTACCAGAGGAATATCTATCTGTGTTTCATTGACTATGCAAAGGAATTTGACTCTGCTGATCACAACAAACTGTGGCTGACTCTGAGAAGAATGGGAATCCCAGAACACTTGATTGTCCTTACGTGAAACCTATAGTTGGACAAAGAGGCAGTCGTCAGAACAGAGAAAGGAAACACTGCATGGTTAAAAATTG